ACACCAACCAAACCCCCAGGGAAAGTAAACCGTTCCCAACAAAAACCTGGTTATCCCCCGCCACCAGCCCCTCGTTAACAATTCAATAGAAGAAAAAACCCTGCCTAATCCCCAGGAAGATACACACAGATGCTGACACCAAAACAAGCAGCCATTCAGTAACCCAACACCCCCACACACACACCCTCAACCCCCCCCTTCCCCTCCCCCCGATCTCTATAAATACCCACAAAAGGGCCACATCACCCTGGGCACAGAGAGAACTGCTCCTGTCTGTGCTCCTGCACTCTGAAGATGCCAGTCACAGGTGCTGGCGAAATGTTAGGAAACAAAACTTCCAGAACACGGCCACACAGCCCGGAAGACCCACACCAGCCATTGTATGCCGGCCTTCGACAATACAAAATGGTATACCATTTGGAAGTTTTCAAATACTTGACATTCTGCTGGATCAGTAGGTAAAATCCAGAAGAGCCTTTGCCTAGCTTTTGCTGAAGTGCCCCATCTTTTCTGGAATGGGAGGTTCTGGTAACAGTGATTCATGCTTTATCATCTTGCATGTGGATTACTGTAACTTACTCTACATGGAGCTGCGCTTGAAGATGATTCAGAAGCTACAGCTGGCTCTAATAACACCTATCTACCTGTTGACTAATAAGAGTTATTAAACCAGGTAGTGGCACTGGTTTCCAGTTTGCTTCTGTACCCAATTCAAAGTGCTAGTAATTACCTATGAAGCATTTTATACCTTACAGCCTGATTGTATTTAACAGTGCCTGCTCAAGTAGAATCTGCCTATCCTGCACATGGTGGCCAAGACAGCATGCTGAGGAGTGGTAGTCATGCCACCTTATTCTAGAGCAGTGTTTCTTAAAGTGTGGCCCTAGGACCCTTGGGGATCCCTGTAGACCCTCTCAGGGGTCCACAAAATCAAAATTATTTGCCAAGTAATTGAAAAATAATTCAATATTAAAAGTCCATCAAACAATCATGAGAAGTGGTAGCAGCGAAAGAGTCAATTTAAATTTTTAATATGGTAAATATTGATCAATATAACCTATACAAACAAAAGCTCTTTTGGGGTCCTCCGTAATTTTTAAAAGTTGGAAGGGGTTCTGAGAGAAAAAAGTTTAAAAACACTGCTCTAGAGCATCTTAAGGTTAGGCTGGTTCCCTTCCTATTAATATTCAGAAAGGTTTGAAGATGCTGTTCTTATGACAGGACTTTGATACAAAAGATGCCAAGCAATGTTGGGGTAGTAGTTCATTGGGTGTCTACTTTTAATTATTTACTGCTGTTTGAGAACTGAAATATCTGTTGTATTATGTGATTTTATGATATTATGATTTTATAATTTATTGGATTATGATTTTATATTGTGTTGTCAGTTGTCTCAAAGTCTTTGGTAGACGTAGCATATAAATTATTGTATATGTATACAAATAAAAAGATACCAGTACAACACAATAATCAATTATATCAGCTATCTAAAACATTTTGTTTTGTTTTTAAATAATCTTATTATTATCTACAGTAGTTTAATTCTTCTATCAGCATTTTAAGTCTGATTAAGCCATTATTAATAACCAAGATTACTCTGCCCACATCCCAAGCCTTATGAGTTCCATCTCAGAGAAGACCAAGGAAGAAGATGCTTAACAGCAATTGTATCCATTGCTCAAATTGCATCTTATTTCAGGGACTGACCAAGATGTCACCAGAAACAGCAAGTCTAGCAGCTGCAAAATTCCACAGAACCATCAGGAAGTGATCTAGCTCCATTAATCTCTGCAGACCTATGCAACTTATAAATCAGAGCTTAAATGGTTATTTATACATTTTCCTCCAATGAATTACATAATAAATGTCTTCCTTTGAAAGCTGTATCATCATTTTATATAATGCTATGCTTTACAGATTTCGTATTGTGGAAACGTTTTGTTTTCTCAGAATAAAGAGAGCCAAAAATAAGAAATAATTTGATGGGCATGTAGTTAGGTCCAAATTTAAAACAGAATGCTAATTACTGGAATTCTACTTACAAAAAAAGAATAGAATATAAAACAGAACGTTCACATTCCACATGGTCAGTGCGAAAGGAAAATGATGCAGACATGAACCATCAATCCCAAAATGATGATATTCAAACTAAGAATTTCTTTTCTGAAGATAAGGAAAGTTCTACAGAATCACAATCTACAAATTTATAAGTTCTTCACCAGAAAATGAAAAAAAAAATCCTTATTAAATTAACTTGCTTTTTATAACTGAAGCAGATCATTTTAGTAATGTGTCATAATGTTTTATACAAATATACATTGCTAACATTTTGTTCAAAAGGACTAATAATCTAAAACAATTTCTGGTTTTCAAATGTTCATGGATAAGGGCAGGGAGGCACATAATAACAAAATCAAAACTCACTAAAAGGGTTGGAAGAACTTACCAGAAATATTCTTTCAAGCTGATCTTGAATATCTTTCATTCCTGGAAAAGCAGCAACTCCTTGAATCATTTCCACAAAAATGCAACCAACTCCCCTGAAAAACAAGGAGTAAAAAATACTTATGGGGGACATAACAGCATTAAGTACACTAGTATCAGAGGATACAGAATGAAGAAAAAACTCACAAGCATTGTACTCTGCTGACACTGGATGTGGCTCACATTTTATTTTATTTATTTTAAAATGTATATGGCAACTCAGCTGGAACTTTGTGGCTCTGAGCAGCACGATGTAATGAAAATATTCCTTCCTACCTACCTACCTACCTACCTACCTACCTACCTATTTATATCACCGCCCAACTCCCCCACAAGGATAATAGTAATTATTAAAAAAGGTTAAATCTCATTCAAGGTAAGCTCAACTACTAATGATTTCATGGCTATATCTATACAGATTCACGGCAGCAGTATAGGACTGGTTTGCCATGTTCTTCTGAGATTTTTTAAAATTCTCCATCTAGTCAATAGCTGTGGGATTCCCTGGAAGTCTCCCATCCAAATACAAACCATGTTCAAATAAGGTCAGCCATCTGCTGCCATCTGCTGAGACAATCATATATGAACTAGGATAAAAATATGAACTGTTTTTGTAGAAATTTCTCTAAATCATTTCTCTAAATCATGGAAGCAAAGTGGCTATTTACTATTGACTGCAGGTTATTTTTTTTTCTTTTTTCTTTGGTAACGCTCACAGAGTATCATGTTTCATGGCAAAATCACTGATGCTCTTGTACAGAGACCTCAAGATTGGAATAAAAAAGTAACTTTAACCAAACATTTGTATGCAGTTTCATGGGATATATATATATATCCATAAAAAAACATGTGTGCTAGCATATAAATAATTTTTAAAATTCTTAAATTGCAATGACAGATTTAAGAAACAAATCTGTATGCCATTCTCATTTTTTCAGATGACAGCACAAACCATTACAAACTGCCATTACAAACTCCACATGAAGTGATACTGTGCTTAGAGAATAAAGATGTGTGTGTGTGTGTGTATACACACACACACACACACAGACACATACATACAAACATACAGATAGACACACACACACATATATATACACACCTTATTTTTGGAATGTATATATACTGGATATTTTGCACACCATCCTGAGCCTTCTTTGAATTTCTTATGACTGTTTATACAAAATATCCAATTCACAATCCATCAGTGATCAGCTTCAGCAATGCTTTTGTATAGAGTCAAGTTTAATATGGATGTCACTATGTCATAATCAATATTTCTATGAAAACTATTTCTCTAAATGCACATTAACGAATGTTAATATCACCTAAATAATTTTGTGATAACCCATTACTTTTTGGTATAAGAATGCCCCCTAAATATCTGGCAAACTGACCTCATGCTAAGAGACCTGAATATTCCAAATTCATATTTCATTTCAAAGGGGAAAAAAGCTGTGTATTATTTTTTATTCAAAGGCCTGATTACAAAATAATGGGAAGCAGCCTTTATTCTTCAATGTTGCAATCATTAGGAAGGTGGATTAAGCCACCTGATTTGTTGGCTCAACCCATGACATCAAAGATAATTTATGTTTGATTGTGCAAAACAACTGCCAGTATCCCCAAAGAACCTTTCATTATGACTCACAATTTTAAAAAACTGAAATTGGTGTTCAAAAGGAAGAAGAGAAAGGAGCAAAAAGAAAAGAGTGCAGCCTACTAATATTCAAGCACAAGACCCATACATCCTCAAATCATCCTTTCTGCAATGAACTTGGAACAAGTTCTGAAAGCCAGAATCTTAATCAAACAGGTAACATTTTTTAGTTCAGTAATCTAGACTGATTTTACTGATTTTGTTTGGAATTATGTGTGTAGGAGGGTTCCCTACCCATTTTCTTTTTTGTATCTAGAGATTGCTTTAAATATGGAATTCCTCATTGGAGCTTTCTCCAGATGCAAGTCTGAAGTTATACAACAATCCCTTGTGTTTTCAAGACCATAGTTTATTTTATTTTATTTCAGATATTTGAAAGCACAACCAAGAAAAAAAGAGCAAAAAACAAAACAAATCACTAGTTATATAAAGCTGAATAAATTTTTTTGAAGTGATATTAGTTTAGTATTGCATGTAAAGCTGATCAATTTAGCACTTGAACATTTAGAATTCTAATAAATAACTAGCATACATTAAACCAGTATAGTTTTGTTAAATAGATTGATTGCCATAATTAAGACTAAGGAGAAATGGTTCTACGGGACTTCTGGAGGAAGAAATTGCAGACTGAAGACACTTTACAAAAAGCAGAGCTGACGACTGCAGCAAAGATCAAAGAGCTGGTGAGCAGACCGGCTCTTTGACCCTCTTTGGACAAAGAAAGGATGGGAGATCACCCACAGACACAGACATCCAGACAGTTGCTCCTTGCGAGGAGATTGCAAGACAGTGGTCTCCAGCTGGTTTTGAGCACTGGGAGATGAGGGACCATGAAACCATGGTCGGCACCTTTAAAAGGACACTAAATCCGTATATTTCCTTTCCTAATCACATTTGGAAATTGCTTATTAACAACTTTTCAGCTATTAGAAACCTTTGGATCGACAAGTTTGAAAACACTGGGTGAGCCTGTCTTAATGAAATAAAATTTCAACTACAGGTTTAAAAACTTTTTTTAAAAAATCAAAGTTTTAATCCACCTTAACAGCAAAAGGTGGATTAAAACTTTGATTTTAGAAAGTTACAAACAGTCAAAGAGACCAGATAAATTTGAAATAAGATTTTGGAATTAATTATGAAGAATACTTCCTGTGGGAAAATGCTTTTGTTTTGAATTTAAAAAATAATAATAAAATAAGATTTTAAAAATTGGACACTAGAGGGAACTAAAGATTTCAATTAAAGGAGAACACATAAACTTGACTAACAGTTACACAATGGCGCAAAACATTCTAACACTGGAAATATTGAAGGATATTTTTGAAAAATGGAATCCGAAATTAATATTAACAATGTCAACAGTGATATCTGCCTCTACAGATAGACTGCGTCTAGAAGATGTTATTCAAGAGGAACAAGTTTTACCTCACAAGGCAGAGACTGAGTTGAAAGTGGACTTACAAATCACAGGCTACAAGAATGACATGGAAAAAAATGTTCCACTGGCTGATGTTTTAATAATTAAAAGGGACATACAAACAATAAACCAAAAGAGTGACCTGGATAGCCAAGGAAGGTAAAATGAATAGAAAAGTTCTTATTTCCACACCTTTTAGTAGTAGTATACTTTATTGATTAATTAATTGACCATATCAACGATAGGCATCAGCCAGAGTAAAATGAAATAAATGAGGTACAGTAAAATAAGATACAGTGAGATAAAATAGATAAATGTAGTAAGATAAAGTAAGGATAAAAAGTGAGATAAAATAGTATAAAATAAAATAGAGTGCAGAGATATATAATAAAATGAATATTAAAATTTGAAAACAGTATGTGTTTAGGTGAGTTCATCACCTTTGCATGCAACCCTGCTGTGTTCTATAAAACGTGTTCTCTGTTGGACAGTCCTGACTATAAATTTAACAGTTCTAATGATTACATATCTATTTGTGCCCTGAAGGAAATAAGATAATCTTTTGTTAAGAGTCCCAATATATGGTTCTGTCAAGTAGTGTCTGTAAGTACTGAGCCCTTAGTGAGGCATATAATTGACAGTTAAACAGGATATGTGCAATGTGTTCTATTTCTGATGCTCCACAAATACATATTCTCTTAGAATATGGCACTTGGTGGAATTGTCCATATTTGACCATAGAATCTAACTGCTTTAATCTTGCTCTGGTAAGAACTATCCTATAGTATTGAGTCAAACCCACTGTCAAGTATGTTTCTGTTTGGAAGGACATTTTATTTTTGGCCAGACATTTCAATGACCTGATGTTTGCAAGTGACTCAGTATCAGTTTGGGCATTAACATGCAGAAGTCTTTGTTTTAATATTGCCTTGGCCTGATGTCTGGCTCAGAATAGATATTACGTTGAGAAGCCAAGATGTGAGATGATTTGGAGAAGTTGATTGATCCATGTGGTGGATTGAACTGTGCCCATCTATTTTTCAAGGCACATTTTTGGTAGTCTGTCAGGTTCCACTGAGAGGATCCTCCACCACTAATTAAAGACTTTGATTACTGTTAGCCTATAAATGGAATGGGTGCCGGTTTCAGCTCTTACTGCTGCTGCAGGTGCATTCCTGTCAGTCCTTAAAATAGTTCTTAAAAAGCATGCTTGATTTTGTTCAAGTAAGGAGGCCTTTGATAGCCCCGCCCCCACCTTTTAGTTTCAAGATATTTAACCTTCAGGATTATTTTGCTGACATTTTAAAAAATTACATGGATTTATACTTGTAATCATGTTAAATAAGGATGCTAACTACCCAAAGGAAAAAAGCACTAAAATAATATACTTGTGCAGCTTTATATTACATAACATCTCCTACATATCACATAGCATTCATTTATATGTTGAGACTAGGACTAATACCATAATATATTCCACAGTGATTCCCATTGCTTGTTATTACCACTACTAATGCCATGGATATCTTCATTAATATTCTTAAATTGCCAGTGGCTATTTACACAGAAAGCTGGAGAATATTAATACTGAACATGAATCATTAGCTTTTGGTTACTTTCCCAATGCCATCCAGTAACAAATGAAGTGTATAAATAGCTTATAGCCACTGCCACCTGCTTCCCAGCATTGTGCTGTAGTTAGATTTATATTTGTTTGCCTTTTTTTTTTAATTTCTCAATGTCTATAGCAACCAAATACTGTAATTTCCAGACTAAGGATTTATGTCTGATGAATTATAAAAAACAAAGGGATAACTTGCATAAATGTCATGTGTGTACAGATATGCAATAATGAATATACTTTATTTCTATTCCTTTCCCCAATCATACTTCCATACAAGTGATATAACTCTTCCTCTATTATACACAAATCAAAGATAAATATAGTGTACAACTGAACAATATTACAAACTTTATTT